CTGCTAGAGACAGGTTCTGTAGGGCACAGCGTACTGAGCCTAAAACCGGAGAAAGGTGTGCAAGAATTCTATCAGCAAATTTTGGGCATAAAGTAAGTTACGGGTGGTATCGAAAGCATGTGTTCAAGCATCAAGTCGGCATATGCATCGCTTGTACCGAATCCTGCTATGGTGATAAATGCTGAAGCCGTCAAATCTCAACAGCAAAACGGTATTTTTGTGAAAATCGAATCAAGACCAGTGAAAAACTAGAACAGTCTTACATTCTTTACCTAAGAGGTTTGAACAGTTTATCCTCGCTGTCCTCAAAGTATCTCCTCCCTAAGTTCCTCCCCGAATGATGTGCGTAATCGATCTCGTGTCTTCCATCAACAAAAACTGCTCCAATTAAATTAACAAAGATTAACATGCATTTGAAGGACACGCTCTTCTCATACCGAACGTGAAACGATGCGTTGATTTGATCGATGATCGTGTTTGATGGGTCGGTCCTTCGCAGTTGGCATGAACCAGCACGTGTTGCACGCAAAAATTTCTGCGGTACTTTGTTCGCGCAATACTCTCCTTCTACACGTGCATGGTTCAATACCGCACATGAACATCTTGTGAATCATTTTCTGCCAATTAGTTTGTTGAGGGACGGCTTCGTGTCTTGACAGTCAGGAACCTTCGGTTGGGCAGTCTCCCTTTAGCCGCGTCATTCCTTGGCTGCTGTACCTTCAAAACACTTCTTGATGTTGTTAATGGGGATGTGAGCTTAGTTGTCTAAAACAGCGATCAGCGAAAATATCTCAGATAAAAATTGTGCACGGTGATTGCTGCTACGGCACGACCGGGCCAGAGTGAAGAGATGGAAAACACGGAATAAACAGGGAAGCACAGCCATGCCGCTGCAGTATTTATAAAAAATGTTATAACATATTTATATCCATCGATTAAGCGCCATCCCGTTACTTAAGCTTGAGCTTGTACACTTTCTCGCCATCAATCACCTCCTTCTTGTACTCGCATCTCTCTTTGATAAATCGCTGCACTAATTTCTTCGTGTACTCGTCAATCTTGAACTTTACCTTTATCCGTGACAGCAGCTCTTTGATGCTCATCTCATCGTTCATTATCATTTGTACCAGGTCGCCCTCGCTCAGCTTCATCATTTCCTTCTTTTCCTCCTTCGGTCCTTTCTCATTTTGCTCCTCGCTTTCCTCCAGGCTCCTCATAAACTTTTTGAGCTCTTTTCCGCTTGTGCTCAGCTGCTTCTTCTCTTCATAGTCCGCAACGTGTGCCTCTTCCCCATCATCGTCATCAAACACCTCGTCATAGTCAATCTCCTCCACTTCCTCCTCCTTCTTCTTGTGCATCATCCATCTGTCGTCATCCTTGCCGATTTTGCTCTCTGCCTCTTCAAGCGTCAAAGTGTCGTAGTTTATTTTCTGCGTGAACCTGTACCATTTTGACACCGGTATGACTTTGAACGCCTTCCCCGTGTTGATAAACACGAAGTAATTGTTCTGTGTGTTCTTGACGCTCTGCAGACGGCCCTTAAATCCTCTTCCCTCCGCGTCTTCTAGTACCAGTGGCTGTGACTCCTCCTCTGAAAGCCTTTTATACTCCTCGTCAACGTATTCGACAGCCTCGCTCTTTTTCTTTATGTTTCTGTACGATTCTGTTTCGGGCTGCTCTGCTTTCTCTTCCCGCTTCAGATGCAGCGGCTCGTTCAGCTTTTTCAGATCGACCGGCACCAGGAGAAGCGAACGGGATGCAGAGTCGCTCTTTGTCAGCACCAACTTGTATTGTATCATAGGGGTGTGGCGGTGCAATGCGTTTAAGAACAGACATACGGTGTGGCACTGTATGCTGTTGCACACCATTGGAGGACTCTGCACCCGTTCCCTTCTTACCTCTGCCATTTTTCGTGCCCTGCAAAATGACCAGCCGAGAGCTCACAAACCTGCATGAGATACAATCGATCACATCCGGGCTGCGAAAGAAATTCGCACACCTACTTTCAGAAAGTATGAGGAAGATAAAAGAGGTTAAATACACAAGAAAAGAGCAGAAGGAGCGCCTCAACCACGATGTACACACGATACGGACAGAAATAAAAAAAAATGAGGAGGAAATAAAACATCTTCGGAACAGCCTGGAGAAGCTAGAGCGCACGCTGGACAGGGAAAGGAATGAGCTATCCGATGCGCAGCGCGAAAATGACAGCCTGTACAAACAGGTGGCGGAACACGAGGAGAACAAAAAGAATCTTGCGCGGCTTACCAGTGAGATAGAGAGACGAGTGCTGGGGTTGCGGGCACAGAGAACAAATGAGATGCGCAGCACCGAAACGAACGAGAAGCGGCTCGAATCGGGAGCCAGCCAGTACAGAAAGGCACTGGGAATAAACATCACACAGATATGCGATAACATGCTCAAGATTGAGTTTTTCAATTTCGATGAGACCGATTTGGGCGGGTACATTGTTATGGATTTTAAGGACGACACGGAGAGCGTGACCGAAGTCTGGCCGTGTGTTGTGTCTCTGGAGAAGATTAACCTAGTGCTGAACATCTCCGATGATTTTTATGACTTTCTCAAGAGAGTCAGGGGCATCTTTCACGATAGCATCAAGGAGGATGTCTGTAAGTAAAAATCGGTTTATATCACACAGGCACAGTTTTTTGGCATTTCAACAGTATTCCTGCACATATCACGTTGTTGCCGTGTCTGCGACGAGCGAAGAAGACTACCATTTTATAGTGCGAACCACAAAAGAACATTCATCTCAATGATCGTGGCCTGTCCACAACACAAAAGACATTTGCGTTACTGACACAACACGAGTATGTGCAAAGAATTGGAAACACTCTGCCCATCAGGTGTTTTGACTGATACTTTCTGATTGACATCGGAATAGCCTACCATTTTGGTGCCCGTTGTACCGAAAAGCTACCGCCTACCATTCTCATAAGGATTATTTGTTATGGAGGCTTGCTTCCGTTCAATCTCAAGATATGCCGGCAATCCAGGGCCGCTTATAAGTCAAGTCGTATAAAAACCTGCGGTAGTAAATGCTTCATACCCGCCATCTATGAGCTAATGCCTTTCACTTACAGAAACGCTTCCTAATAATGCGTCTTTTGGAGTGACTACCTGAGCAACTTGGCCATTTCCGCAAACTCGTCAGTCAAAAGAAATTTGAGCCTAGAGTCGTTGTGAACGAAAGGTCTGTCCCACCGCTCGGCTGCTATGCTCTGTAATTGGCACGCTGACGCTGTGAACAAGTGGTTCTATGGAGTGAAATACCATTAGACATTCAAGCGGAAAGACTAACACCACATCATAATTTTGGCCTGAGCCTGATAATTGGGAGGATCCATTTTTTGAGCTGGCAGGTTTGCTGCTAGATGATGTTGCCTAATATGCCATTCAATCGAACACAGACTATAGATCGGCAGTTTTGTACGTGAACAAATTGCTTAATGACGGGTCTTTCCCGAAAATTGCGAGGGAATCATGCAATTTCTCGTTAAAGGTGGCGATACAAGGTAGCACAAATGAGCGAATACAAACATTAACCCGTAACAGCAGGTAATAGAGGAGAAATAGCAAGAAGCATGGGTTGAGTTCAGCAAAATTCTGATCGGTCTAAAAATTATAGGCTGAGTAGACCGTTGGCGTGTAGGGCTCTTCAAATGTACCATAATCGTAGAAAGCTTATTGTTCTACTAAAACATTGTGATTTAAGCATACTGTGACAAGGAGTGTTCTCAAACATCAGGTGACTTACGAAGTGAGAGATGTGCATATTAAAAATAAGCTAAGAAAAAAGAGGCAACAACACATAATATTTATCTATCTTGTTGGAGTATCGCCGCTTCCGATCGGTCTCGGTATTAAAATTTCGTATTTTCCTGTATTTATAGTACACTGTATTCGGATGACTCCCGATTGTTTAGGAATCCTCCGTATTATCCTCTTCTTCTTCAATCTCATCTATGTCTGTCTCACCTTTGTGCACAACTTTAGCAACTACTCCAGAATCATAGTAGTCTGTCACGTATTGCCCATTTCTCTTCATTCTTTCCACACCTACCGAGAAAATAATTTTTCGGTTCTCAAATATAAATTCAGTTACCTTTATAAGATCATTGATGTCATCAAGGTTGACAGGTGTTCCTGGTTTCAAAAAAATTTTTGGCATGATCACCACTGCAAAACCATGCAGGTCCATGTTATGAGTAGGTTTTTGATTGTAATTTGTTACTAAATGCCGCATAAGTGCGAAAAACTGGGTGATGCTGTCCAACATATTTCTGTTCGACTTGGGCATCATATACAGAATATACTTGAGAAGAACAACCTGTTCATACTTGTTCTCGAGCTTGGCAACCTTCAGAAGAACCTTCAAATACAAGCGTGGGATGAGTGGCATTTCGTAGTTGTCAAAGAGGCGCTTGTAGGCCACGGTCAACGTGATGATGTCGAACGGCAGCAGCCTGTTTATGATCTCCAGCCTATACATTTGCCGTGTTTCGCTGTCATTAATGAGACAGAAACAGCGCTCGAGATCAGAAATGTTTGCCGATTTTCTGAAAAGCCCTGACTCATTCAGATTTTTTGTGAGAATAGCCTCCATGATGCAGTTGAATTCTATCGGCACCAGAACCTTTCTCTGGCCCAGTCGTATCCTTGTGTAAGAGAATTTCGTGTTGTAGCTGTAAAATTCGCCGTTGCATGCGAACATGTTCATTGAAACGAAGTTCTGTGCGCTGATCCGTATTTTGGTTAAAAACGGCACATGCTTTTGTATTATCTCATGATTTTCATTTAGGAACTGTGCTTTGTATCTCTCGAACACCGGGGTGTCCATGTCATTGATGGACTCAATATATTCTACAAGATACTCCGTGATGTTTTCCTCGTTCATCTTGTGCGGTTATTTTCATCAATTTATATTTATACCAAAGTGATAAATTAACAAGACAAATTTTTGAATTTAAAACTACTGAAATTAAAAAATTCTTCTGAGAATATGTTAAATTAATTTAGTTTAATAATCAGAATTTGTGAACAATTTATTAGCAAAGTTGCTAACAACCTACATATATGTAGAAAATTGTGTATATTTTAGCAGTACCTGTTCTCTTTGGTACCTTAGAAAGCTAGTTCAGAGAAAAAAACCGAAGTTGTGGGATAAAGGAGGTATAAAGCTAGTGGGTATGAGCGGCCATTGGTGAAAACCAGCTAGTTAAATTCTTATTAAAGGTATTTTTATTCGGAACTGTAATATTTTGGCGTTACTTTTTGCAATAATACAAGAAACTATACATACAGGCAAAATCACTGTAATTATGATCTCAAAAAATGACATTTTAGCATCAGTCCGAAAAATCACTATTATCTCTGATATAGCCACAACAAACATGTTTATATCCATAGTCACAAAGTAAGAACCAGCTTTCTGAGTTTACCAAACATTTCCCGTATCGGAGGTAAACCCAATCGTCGTGTCCAAAATGCAACTCACCGATGTTAAGGATATTTATCTATTCATATATTGAATTACACAATTCTGTTTTGAGCTAATCATAGTACATTGTAAAATGACTTATAATAGTAGTTATAGTGGCAAACCAGAACATTGTGTTTGTTTAGATGTTATTATATGAAGAGGTAAATAATCACACTTTTTCAAAATACGATAATAACACCACTATAGTGTTATGTATAGTGGCTTCGAACTTAATTTAGGTCGCAGTGGATAAAATAAATGACTCTAAAAATACCAATCAAATTTGTCGTAATACCAGATTTCGCATGCTATGACAATTTCGATAGTCCATACAGACACTAAATAGCCTCTCGTTACATATGGTCTCAACAAAAGCGTACTTAACAAGCACTGAAAAAATATCAGCTTGTATTTTGTAAGTTATCACAATATTACCAAAATACGGCACCATAAAGATCTTATTACAGCAAATAGTCCTATCATGTTATTAACACAACCAAATTTGGAAAAATTATGTGGTATTCATAATTCCTATAATCCCTAAAAAGGAATTAATAAAGAAATGATAAATGAAAACATATAAACGAACAAAAAATGTATCAAAGCTATCTTTGTGGGACCAAATAACAGATTATGAAAGAAGAAATTCGCCAGCCGCATTAACATGGATAACGGGCGACTACTGAGACAATGATAGAATATTCTCCAAGGATATATCTGTGAGCAGAGTGCTTTCTATATTCATACTAGCAAGAAAACTTCATTATGGTAACCACTATCCGAGCAACTGAATTAATCCATGAGACTTTATCCCATAATGCCGTAATCAAATTGTTGAAGAGCCACCCTGAATCAACCATAATGTACTAATAAATCATCGTAAAAACTTCCAAAACTACTCAAAATATTCAAATAGTTAGCACTTCCACTATTTTTTTGAAGAGTATTGTTCCTGTTGTGAATGATAAGCCAAACTTATATATTTATACTTACAACTGATATGGTTTTATTCAAAATAGATGAATAAAACAAACATTATCTCATAACATGTCTTTTCAACAGATTTTGGCATAATTCGCCGCTTAGAAGTTTGTTAGCCCTAGGAAGCTTCTTGCTACCGTAGCCGTGAGGTTTTCAATTAATGGCAATATATTTCCATCTTTATTTCTCCTTGCAATGTGTTCATTTATCACTTCGTACTCGCAACTATTCCAATAAACTCCTTTTCTGAACCATTACGATTTTATACTCCTGTTTCAGGCGTAAAAGTGTGCTATCAATCGGGATTTCCTAGAGTCATATCAGATTCCATCTCTCAATGGCAAGAATTCCATGCTCCAACGGATGTTATTCTTCGTCAGCACCAGCGAATCAACACTTTTCATTTCTCAAACACACTTTCTATAGGTGCATCTCGTTGTTATGGCGACCCGTGAGCATTTGCACAAATTCGTCTGCTTTGAAGGATCAAACCCAGAGCTGTTGTGAACATTCAACTCAATCTCACTATCCGATAGACAGTCTCTACTATTGCTAGGAATACTCTTTCATATTACATTTTTTCTCTTATTTTCTCTACTCTAAAGTGAAAAGAAAAGCATTTTTATAATGCCGGTAAGAAAAGAACACATAGATCTGCAATATGTTCTTACATACTTTACAATCTTAACATCATCTACGCTAAATAAAGCTTGATTCAATGATTAAGCATGAAAGACTGTCAGCACGTGTTTTTTTACCAAATTTCGTTGTAAAATAAGCTGGTAAAAATACGAAGAGCTATTGATGAATGTAACAGACCTTTAATTCGAGTGGTGTACCAGAATAACAACTCTTACCATCTCAGTGATTCTTTATAATTATATGTACTCACACCTGACTAGTTGCCGGGAAAGCCATTAAAGTTTCTTATTTTTTCGTATTTACTAAGATGTATGATAATGTGTGCTTTTGAGATATTGTTACTGAACAACATTAAGACATATATGTATCAAATGAGATAATCTTTGCTCCACATAACCAATAGCATTTTTGTGTTTTATTGATTTGCAATGAAAATATAAATTTGAGACTATTTTTGTATTAAACTTGAAACAAAAACACGGCGATCATACTCAGACTAAAGCATTAGCCCATAATGAGAATGAACTATATTTACATTGACCAACTCGTTTAGACTGATTTACCTTATTTCAGAGACATTTTAAACACATAGTATGATAAATTTTGCTATGAATTACCTCGTTCGTTGACCATTCAATTTCGTTTATAATCTATTACTGTTACGGATAATTGTGCAATAACTGTTTTAAATAGTAGTAGCTTGGTTGCCACGGCATAGAATTATACATAACGGATAATTACACACTTAGTTCATTTATTTAGACATGTTTAATGGGCGACTGCATTGTACGAAATCAAAGCCCCCTCTTCACCCGGTGTTACACCTGACTCGCTATCTGTGTACCTTACCGGTGCTGAACCCTGGATAAGCTGTCCGATTTCGCTGCTCTGCATTCCCACACATTGTTGCACATACCTACATAACTTACCCGCCAGGTTTACTTCCTCTGATGGACTGGGCGCGTACAAATGTTCGAGCCCAACCAACGAGTCAAGTATCGTATTTTTAATTAATTCGCGTGTTTCGTCCATTCCACGCCACAGTAAACCAGCCACTCGACCACATCTCAAGCTGTTGAAAATTGTTTTCAGCTCAGCTCGAGGAGGAATGTAATTGCATCCCCATATAAAAAGATGACATCCTATATTACCAGCAAATGATTCATTGAGGAAATCAAATGCAGCCGAAGTTCTTTCAATTACCGGGCTGGTTTTTTCGCACGAAGGATCTACACTGATAGTTGCCATGAATTCATCTGTATTATAAGCATCTAGTTTTAAATGCAATTGCACCTTGTACTGCATCAAATGGTCGTTCATTTCATCGATAATTGTTCCAAAATAACCAGAAACTGCCTCCCTTTCAGTCTCATGTGCTACTATATTGGACAGTGCCACGGAATGTATTGCCCGTATTACACTTTCCTCTGCATGTATCTTCAAATCTATGCTGTAAGTTTTATTATCGCTGGTACAGGGAATATCTGGGGCCATTATGTCTTGATAGGCAGCATAATTTGTCAAAAGATACAATAGTACATTAATCATGTTATAGCAATTATGCTACTTTTTTTTTTATTCAATGTCCGACACAATAAATGTGTTAAATGTGAAACAATCTGTAGAATATCTCTAATTTGCAAAATTTTTTGTTTTACAAACGTTATAATCGGATAATGATGTAAGCACCTTTCTGCTAGCTGAGCTTTTGAGCATGAGCATGCCTTATATTAGCTGTATAACCGAGGTAGTAAAATTTAACTTAATTTAACATTGGTATCAATTGAAAATCTTGCACAGTAATATTTGAAATAAATGATGAATTCTATGTGTTTAATAATATTCATGAATTATGATGCCCTTTATAACCATGCTATACACCAAATAATCTACACAGTTTATATGCATTTATTTAGGTTTTGAGAAACAAAGTCATTACATTTACTTTATTTGATGCTGTTACCATATACAAATAGCACATTTAGTTCATAATTGTGCACACGCCTAAGATTATATAGTGACCACTGTAAGTAATTTTTCCAAAATACGTTTTCTCATCTGTTTGATAGTTGATTTAAAATGTTTCAATGTAACTTGTAATACGCTTTTACGGCATCCTAAATCCTATCCAAATCACTTTAACACCTAGCACCAATATACAACTTGATTTATGTTATGGCAAGGTATGCTTGGATCACCATATTGATAAATCACTGCCAAGGACGCTATAACCGATTATACAAATTTTTTTGGCCATGTAAGTAGGATTTACTGGTTCGTAGAGTTGAAACAAACTGTAGCAAAACCATCTTCTTCATCGAAATAATGAAAAATGATGTCAGTAAAAATACTTGTTAAGCAGTGTATTGCCTATATTTGGTACATATTGGTAATATTTATTAAGATTTAGGCTTTTCAGTCACAGAATAAAAATTGCACCTTGAGTTACGAAAGTTGCCCTTTACATCAAATTATTCTCAGATATTCAAACTTTCTCTGTTGTTTCAATCTTAAAAACCATTTTGCAGAATCAAAACACAAATGACTACCGTCATAAGATCTGCCACAGTGTTATCCCACAAATTATGATTCAAGTATTCGCAACCAATTGGTTAATTATATTAATTGAATCATGAACAAAGATCAAAATGTTGTGCTGCAGGAATGACTTATATCTAGCACTAATTCTAGTTGTTTGTCGATCTTATCACAGATATTTGAGTTGTTTATATCACAAGCGCTCCTTTTCTGTTTCTGGCGTATATTGTCTCGCCATTGAATACTACGAAGTGTGAGCTTTACAAAACCTATTTTTTATCACAGCTAACAATAAAATCTTTACTAAACGAGTTGGTTAAAGTGGATTGAAGGAATAACAAAAAAATCAAGGTGTAAACTATGCTTGATATATTTTTGTTCCACCATAGATACCTTGGCATTGCTGCTGGTGATAGACAGCTTTATTAACAAATTTGCTTGTTGTAGAAAGTGTAACAATAGTATTTGCAACTAGTGTAAATGTTACTCATCATGTGGCAAAAAAAAAGCCGTCATTAAATCGTGGAATCAATTGGATGTGGCGCAAAAAACTGAGCATTTTTGGATATTATTTGACATATTTTGGCATTGTTAAAAAATTATTTACATGTTAAATACGTCTTTCCGCGAAGGAATAAAATATTTTTACCATTTCTTATATTAGTGTGTTTTTTGGTGTGTTGAATTAGATGATATCCATTTGGATATTCATTATGTTGTAAAGCCTATTATTTGATGTCTTACTCATTTTCGGTCACCTAAGCTCTCTTCAGCTCATTACGTCCAGTTTGCTCTATCACTATAATTTGTTGTCACCATTCTTCCCCTCAGAATGCACAAACAAATGTTCAATACATGGAATGATTACGAAGATGCTAACGAGAATAAAGAACTCTTCCACAAGCTGCTTAACGCCATTCATTTGCGCAGAAAGTACATGCGTTATAGTGTATCGTGTAAATTTTCACGGTATTATTACCGTAATGGAGTATTCTATCTCGTAAAGGATGACGCAGACAAAGGGAAAAAGGATGAAATTAACGCTTTTTTGGAAGAATATAGCACAGAAAAGGAACGGCTATATTTGAGCCATACAAACTTGAGCGCGCAAATCGACGGTCTCTCAATTAATACAAATTTTAATACCAAAGATAGTGGCTGTCCAAAAAGTGAAAATTTAAAGAAAATGAGGAGTATCAACGACAAAAACGGAGATATTCTGAAACCAATACCAATTGAAGAGTATTACTCAGATTGTGTCTATGTGCTAAACGTATGTAACAACAGACCGATAAAATCGCTTTCGTACAGGCGTTTGGAACATCTCAAACACTCTTTCAACATGTATCGCAACATATCAGCATCAAAAGAAAAGGAAGAGCAACAGAAAAAGAGCCGGAAGGATTTTTATACTGTATATAAGGTCGACAATCATATACATCATTCTGCCGCAATCAATTGCAAGCATCTTCTAAAGTTCATAAAACGCAAAATTAAATTTAACTCGGATGATGTGGTTTACGAGAAAGATGGAAAAGCATATACTCTCAGAGAGGTGTTCAAACAGCTGAACATAACAGTAGACGAGCTTCGTATAGAGAACATTGATACACACTCCCACACCGATACTTTTCACAGGTTTGACCGTTTTAACAACAAGTACAACCTGCTGGGCCAGAGTCTTCTTAGGGAAATTTTCCTCAAATATGACAATTTCATCAATGGACGGTACCTTGCTGAATTGACCAAGGAGTTGATTAATTACTACAAAGAAAATAAATATCAAAATGTGGAGCTAAGAATATCGGTGTATGGAAAGGACAAGGACGAATTTTACAGGCTTGCACATTGGATAGAAAGCAACAAACTGTACTCAAAGCACATAAAATGGGTGGTACAAATACCCAGGCTGTTTCCAAACCTTAAAGAAAGGTGTAACATTGAATCTTTTGGTGAGATGTTGCGGAACATCTTCGATCCACTTTTCAAGGCGACTGAATTCGCTGATGAAAAAGGAAAAGCATTTGTGTGTAACAAAGCGTATGATGATAGGTATAAAGGAATGTACAGAATGTGTACTTATAGAAATTACAACAATAGTCCCAAGGCTGAAGATGACAATACACGGTTCGACACTAAATATGTCGTTGGTTGCGATACTGATGAAAATAACGGGAAAGATAATTCTAAAGAAGGAGAAATGGGCGGTGAAGTGGCCAAAAACAAGTATATTACCTGTAAGAAATGCGCTGGATATTATTTGGATATGAGAACCAATGTGGCAAATAATGAGACGAGCGACCAGGTGTTTTGTGATCGCGCAGAGAGAAAAAAACAGAATAACAGTGGACAATCAATTACTTCATTAAATAAAGGACATAACACAACAACGAATATTTGTGGAAACAACCATCTGCAGAGTGGAACAAACCAGTCAAATGAGACGGTTCATATTCGTGGAAAAAATAACCAAGGCATAGACTACGGCACAAGAACTCAACCAGCAGCATATCTGCGTGAAGAAAGACCGCAGAGTTTCAATAAAGTTAGCACATCATCTAATGCACCCAGTTCATACGATGGTAATGAATGTATCTGTTCCGTTGATCCTTCAGATGGGCCAAGCGAGAACGAAAAACCAAAAAGCGAACGAAGCGAAGCTATCGCTAGGTTGAATAGCGAGAAACATAAGATGTCCTTGATCTGTAATTTCCTCAAAAATTTAGGTGGATTTGACACTGTTGATGACGAAAGCATACGCGAAAGGAAGTACCATCAAAAGTTTCCATCTCCTGACGAATGGACACATAGTGAAAACCCGCCATATTCCTATTATATTTATTTTTTATACAGCAATATAAAAATGCTCAACGATTTTCGGCGTTCGAAAAAACTAAATACATTCAAATTCACACCACACAGTGGTGAAACTGGTGACTATGAGCATCTGGTAAATGCATTCCTGACGGCTGACAGCATTTGTCACGGTGTTCAGCTGCGTAAATGTTTTCCGCTCACCTATATTTTTTATATTTGCCAAATCGGAGTTACAATGTCGCCATTATCTAACAACTCATTGTTCATTGCATTAGAAAAAAATCCTTTCATCAACTTCTTCAATATTGGAATGAATGTATCGCTTTCCACGGATGATCCACTTCATTTCCACTTTACACGAGACCCCCTGATGGAAGAGTATTCAGTCATCACCCAACTCTATAAATTGAGTAGTGTTGACCAATGTGAGTTAGCAAGAAACTCAGTAATTCAATCTAATTTCAGTTTTGAATGGAAGAAAGAGGTCATAGGAAATTTCTACAAAGAGGGAACAGAAAGCAACGATATTGTTAAAACAAATGTACCAAATATAAGAATACATTACAGATGGCTAATGCTATGCAGGGAAAGAGAATTGATCGGATATGTGATTACTAAGTGATCGAGTAATATCTGAAAGAAGCTACTTATTTTTCTAGAGAAGGTATGAAAATGATATAGGTAAAAATATCTTACAATATATTACTATATTAAATAGTTTTTTGAAAAATTGGACCTTTCCTTGTATAAAAACGTACTCTATATTTTTTATGATAAAAAGATTCACATAGTAACCAAATAATGAGTATTTTCGATTTATTTCATCATAATGCAGTTCAATAAATAATATGTAGCTCATTAATTTCAACCAAATTAAAAACTTGTTTCATTACATATGCCATTCCTCTATGCCTAAAGGAAGAACTTTCCAAATTGCTACTACTGAGGAGTTCATAATTCGAATTACTTTTAGCTGTGTGATATGTTTTTTCAATAACAATCAGTGCATCATCCCTGCTTAGAATAAAAAAATCGGCTACAATCTACCAAGCCCCGCAACTAAAAACTTACCAGTTCGCTAACACAATACAAATATTTAGCCATGAAGTCTGAGTTTACAGCTCAAAAGTGAGGCAGTGTTGTATATTAATAGGTTTGCAGGCATCTTCAATGATAGTTACCGTCTAAAATTGTTCTTATTTCATCCAATTTCACACCATAATTTCTTCGGTCCTCAAAATTAAAATCTTCCGGTAGTCTGAAAACGTTTATGTTTCTAGGAATTTCTGGCACAACAGGTATTTTCTTTAGCTTAGGCATTATAAATGCCCGTTTAACCATTAAAGACTTATCAATCTTATTAAAAAGTTCTTTTCGTACATCTTTGTTTTCTAACAGCTCCAAGTAGTAGGCTCGTCTCATTAATTTGTGTTTCTTTCCGTTTATATGTGTCTTTCTCAGACGATATAATGAATTCGGCAATGAAATATCACAAAAAGGACAAAAATATTTTGGCATCCAAGGGATGAAACTTTAATTAATTTTTAAGCTCGTATCATCAGCGAAGCATATTTTCACACATTATGTAATCCTAAGCCTGGTAGCCAGACGTTAAGACAAAGTTATTCGCTTGCAAGGGTTTTGTGGAAATGTTTAAAAAGTCACCAGGTCGCCGGACAAAAGAGACTGCTAGCAGGAGGCATGTTCAAGGAATATAAAGTGTCAACTCGTTGGTGAGGGTAGAAAGTGGTGACACCCATGAAGAAGCGCAAGCTTTTATTGCGACAGACATAACCTCCAGGAGATCCCTTATTGCCAGTGCAATTGTGATACCTGAAACTAAAATACACCATATTAAACACCAAGGTCCTACGTTGACGGCAAAGAGCAACCTCAAGACTGACGAATCAAGAAAATGTAGTAAATCATGCCAACATCGTTCAGAAAGGAAAAGCCACATGACCTTGGTTCTTCCCTCATATCTGCTTCTCATACCCATATAGTTTATCAGTACATCATTCTTCAAATATTTGGTACTAAAATTCACATTAAAATATAATATAGTCCATAATTTTGGTGTCATCCTGGCAGTATTCCCTAACACACCACTTTTCACGATTATTTGTCTTATGGATAGACATAATTATCGTATAGATCTCCAAAATTGGTATCTCTTACTGAACATTGAAACCTTGGCACAAAGGTTTGAAGTATTATCCGACTGCGATTAAATCACTGGACAGTTAATTTGAGAAGCAGTAGTTCCCATAACGATGCTAAAAGACGTATTTGATAAGAAAAAAGACGAAATGCACTTTTCTAACTTCAAAGCCAGGTGCAAATAGATGTTCAATGCACACAGATATCATGACATTCATCGTTAATATAACGTATGTTGTTCGTTTTTCATGACAGGATCATTGCAACCAAGTGTTTTAAGTTCTTATTATCATAACAATAGCATAATATGCATTTTTGTCTGTAACGTTTGGTTATCTCAATCTGTTTGTTTGTACGTGTTATCCAGTCAAATACGTTTGATAGAACGATATAAATACCGAGAAAATGACCGCTTTAGTACTGTTTTGTGATTCCGTTGATAGCCCAGGTTGTAGTTTATTAAATCTTAGACTGCGGTCATATATTTTTTATAATTGCTGTGTTGTTTATTATCAGGTTGGTGCGGTTTCATGTTTGGCTGCCTTTCTTTATAAATGTTTGTTTATGTCTCAAAAATGATTTTTATGGTTTCATTTGCTTTCCGGGCATAGCATGGTTGAAAAATTATTCTGGGTTTGACCATTCAATACTAGCACCATACAAAACTTACTGCTTGTCTTCCTTATTAAACATCCATATGCGGAGTTATCATGGAAGTCCCCGTGTTTTGTGAAATACTACGAACTAAAGATTGATTTTGGTAACTACAAATAAATAAATACTTGTTGTTTGATAGCAATGTAGAATCGCAGCTGAACATCGGGTGCCAGGTATTCTCTCTAAAATGTGAATATTTAGCTAACATAAGCAAATGTGTCGATTCACAAGCGATATTTGTCGTTCAGTACGCTTCAGCTCCCATTCCCCGAATCAACGGTCAAAATCATGATCGGTGAATAAAACAATTTGTATGAGATTTGGTATTTAACAATTGCGCAGACCAGCGAATAAAAATGGCGAGCATTACTGCCTATAGGATACTCAAAATAATTGTGACGAAATACATCAAGGAAATACCGCTAATAAAACTTACCATCATGCCTACGCTTCTTCTGATGCTTGTAGCACGAGTTATGGAAGTAAAAGTGAGCGAAATTGTTCAAAATGCCTCACTTGCGTTTAGCGGCTATAAAGAGAGCGGTATATTCAAAAAATATATGATTGTGGGAATATTGTCATCCCTATTGATAGAGCTGCAAGGTTTCATATTCAAGTCATCGGTACAGCGTGCTTATAGAACTGCCTTGAAAAATTCGCTACGTGGATACTTCTTACTCAGCTGGTCAGAGTTCAAGATGAAAGGTCTGGGCGAAATAACAGCTTCGATCGAACGACGAAGTAGTGCTGTCGCTGAAATACTGGATGTTCTCATAATTAATCTGCTTCCTGTATTTCTTGTCCTATTTCTATCCATCCTAAAAATATACGCTATTATGGGCTTTGTCTCTTCGCTTGTCATTCTCATCTCGCTAATTACGTACACAACGGTTACTATCCAAATGGCTGTGTGGCGCAATGACATACGAAAAAAGTTGAATTTATCGATCAACGAAAGTAACGACAAGCTAATCGACATTCTTTCTAACTACGACTCCATTCTTGCATTCAACAACCAAAATTTGGAATTATATAAGTACGACAACAAGTTGGCAGTGGGTGAGCGACACTATGTCAAATTGTGGCGCACATTCTATCTGCTCAATTTTTTACAGCGCTTTGTTCTCTGTGTGCAAACAGGTATGATAATTTACGTAGGAATGTACAACAAAATAACCAGCGATCAATTTGTTCTCTATCTTTCAATCAGCAAGATACTTGCATCGAACCTGGATAAGCTTGGATACATGTACTCGCGATTTACAGCTGCCGTTTTGAACGCAAAAATGAGCTTCTTAGACATACTGCCACCTAAGAAACTGTATCCAATTCGGTATTTCGACAAGAAAATATCCTTTCGAAACGTTGCTATGCTATTACCGTCAGAAAATAAGCCGAACATGTCATGTGATATTTTTACATACACTGTTACCGAAAGTTTTCTTTTCAAGAATTTGAGCTTTGAGATACAAAAAGGTGAGAAAATCGCTTTTATTGGTCCGAATGGCATCGGAAAATCAAATTTTCTCAAGATGTTACTCAAATTTAATGATTACACAGGAAGTATTAGAATAGACGATGACGAGTTGTGCACAATAGACAACAGTTCCCTGCGAGATCTTATATCGTATGTTCCACAGGACAGCTATCTGGTAAGCGGAACAGTTAAGGAAAATATCAAGTACGGAAATTTGATGGCAACCGACGAGGAAATGATTGAGATGTGTCGATCTCTCAATTTTCACGATAGTTTTGTTAAATTATCCTCTGGATATGAGACATACATCGGGAAGAACAATTCTGTGCTAAGTGGTGGGGAAAAACAAAAGATAGCGATTGCCAGGGCAATGTTGAAGAATGCGGAAATATACCTATTTGATGAACCCACTGCCAACTTGGACAAGAAGAGTGAGGAAGCATTCTTCGAAAAATTGGCCAAAGATCAAAATAACAAAACATCAATTGTGGTTATACACAACTTAGAGCTTTTAGATTACTTTGATAGAGTCATATTCCTTCAGAAAGACGGAATTCAAGAAGTAAAAAGGGAGGAAGCATTTAAATTAATGAAATTTACTAAGAACACAAACGGTACGAACAAATTGAGTGAAGTATGCTGTCTACCGGAAAACGATGAGAATGCAGTCAACAACATACAAACACTAAAAAAATATGATTAAATACGTTATTAGGTAAGCAAGACACGGTTTATTTAATAAATCCAACGGTATACTTCAAATCTCGCTCTAACTCACTAGTGAGAACATAATATCATTCGTGTAATATCTTATTCGTTTGACCATGATATCATCAAAATATTCCTTGTATTTGCAAAACTTCTCTAAATACCTGAAACATAAGCAACTTCTTACGATAATACAGCCATTTATCTCGAAGCTGTTGTTAACAAAAAAACTATGGGGAAACAAAAGTCTAACTATTTCCGGATACACCGAAAAATCGATTGACTTTTTTATTACACCATAAGCCTTCAAAATGGACATAACACTATCAATGTAAAGCGTTGTACATGTAACTTGGACCTGTCGATACTTGATTTGTTTTACCCATCTAATAAAATTAAATTTAAGACTCTCAAACAACGATTCAACCATAGTATCTCCACAATTTAGAAATATTGTCATCATAATAGATGGCGAATCGTATGTTATTGGCTGCAAAAGTACGTTAAAACACATCACAGTCATTTTCTCAAACTTTATATTTAGCTTAATGCCCAAGTCATTAAGTTCATCACATATTCTGCCAGATAAAATAGCAAAAGTAACGCGATCAATTATATTATACTGTGTATTACGTACCATATTATCCACAATTTCATAAATAGACCGTAAATATTTCAATTTTTCAGCACTTAAATGATTTGCAAACAATTTTTCGTAAATAACTTTCTTTTTGCAATTGAATGCAGACCAGGGCGAATCGATATTAGTAAAAAAAAACATCTTATTGCTATTCATCAGATAGTCATCCAATTCATTCTGGTTTGTAAACTGTTTAGCAACAAACTCTTCATTAAATTTCTCCAGAAATATTTCTCTACCTGGATAGCAACAGAAACCCGTAATTTTATTACCGATAGCAATCCTTGTTTGGCTGAGATGCGCGTAACATAACTTAATTATTGGGATGTTGGTGACTGCTCGCCACCATTTATCATGTTTTTGAAGTTTATTATTCCTAGGAATGACAGGATCTGCTAATTCGTCACGTGTACCCACCCTAAACTTCCAATCTAGAAAACCACGAATCACGTTGCCTTCTTTGATTCTCCTCCACCATTTTTTAAATCCTCCTATCCCAAATATTTTATTCAACTGCCTATTGAAATTCTCCTCGATTACTAACACGACATCATCCCTGTAAATTTTACCAAAGACTTGACGATCGGTCAGTATTATTTTGTTCGTGTACGCATTGATCGCACGTACATCTGAAGTGGTGTAGCTGTCCTTCATAAATTGCAAGTAGATCAGAATGTTGAATATTTGTGAACCTCGATAAAAGATAAAGAACAGGGAGCGCTGTTTCATTGAAAGGGATAAAATTCGCAAATTACTTATACGAGAAATAGGTCGAAAGAAGAAAAAGTCTGAAATAGATTAAATATCGAGCAAAGTAGTGATAAATTTAATACGATTATCGAGATTGGATGGACAAACATACGGAGTTACAAATGATTTAAGGTTTTCTAAAGATGAATAGAAACCATAACACATTTGTGTGTTATGCGTATTGACTGTGGAGTAATTAGATCAACATAAAATGTATAGTTAAAAATTTACGAAACGTTGCGATGCAGTATTATCGGGAAAGAACATGTTTTTAAGCCCTAAGGCAGTAACAGACAACAAAAGTTTTAGTCACTCCGCTCCAGAAAAATGTTTCGTTGTAGCTAGGGAATAGCATATAACGATAACCATTTTTTGAGCCTTTTTCGGTGTTACTATGTTCATTAATCAACGTAAATATCGTTTTCTGGATGAGGAGATATCGTTTCCAGCCCTGTATTTGTTAGCCAGACGAATACTTATGATTTAAACAACTGTAGATTTCCCTCGCAATTATTTTTACCAATAAAGGAAGTTTTCAAACAATACCCTTTTGTATTCTTGATACGAACTCATATTTTTGCTACTTTGCACTGACAACCATGATATATTGGAGGGCATTAAACTCATAACCAATATTGTAATGTACTTATGAGCTGTGTATCGCTGTGTAATCGGATTGCTTTCTTATGCTCAACAATGAGTACTTTTTGATCCTTAGATTTTTGCCAAAAATGATTTTAACTAATTCAATAATACAAAGTTTATTTATAAGAACACGAAAGCAATTATAAATCACAATTGAAGAAGATAAGCAAGACATGATACCTGAGTGAATGTTTTCGAAAATGTCAGGGAAGTTATAATACTAGAGTGACCACTGATTGCCGGTTTTAAAGATGATTCAAAAGCACTTCTAGTCATGTTAAGGCGTAATGAACATTAAATTTATTTTTTTAGGTTATTTAACGTGAAATATATTTCAACTAAAAATTAATAAAAGAAGATCAATTTTAGTTTGAGCCAAAATATAATTTTGACTTCATAAACGGTGTGTTCTCCTTTGAAGTCAATTATTATTAATCTGAATATAAATAAAAACAGGTTGACAGCAGATTGGTCAGTTTAGGAAAAAAATAAAAAAGTTTTATATTCCATTTTTGCATTTAACAAAGGGCTAAAAGTTGTTATTCTATTCGTTTCTTCTATGAAACTTTCAGTGCTTCCTTGTTAACAATGTCAAAAGAACGTGATTGCGAAAAGAGAACTAATTATTTAGTCCTTTCCAAGGTATCGAAACAAGCGAAAGTGGCTAAAGAAACTTAGTAAGACATATAAGGAAAGGAATGTCATTCAACAAGTAATCAAAATTTTTTCATTCTATAGGCGAAAACAGCGTAGCTAGCCACAGATATTATTGTAATTGGCATTTCTTGACAACATATTTCTATCTCGTATCCAGACACACCAAATAACAAAAACAAGAAATAGATTACCAGATATTAACTTTGTTTCTCAAGCGAATATAAGATGAACGATATATGACGGCTAGCCGTACGGATAGCAAGGTAGACCCTCTGAATCTATAAACGAAACCGTGCAATATACGGTCATTAAACAAAACTGTTAGTGATAATAAATCTATCGCAGTCAACTTCTTAGGCGGGCACTGCACGAATAGTTCTCAACGGTATGGTTATTTAAATAGGTAGCTTTATTTAGTATTTACATGATAAGGTAATAACTCAATTAAATATGAAAGCGACTGCCTCGAGCTGATTCGCACAGCCGTTTTTTGCTCATCATAACACTATTAATGCTGTGATCTAGCCATTCCATCATCGTTGTTCTAGCACTCAGAGTTAGTTATTGGTAGGTCATACAATGAATTAATTGATGACAAAACTACGACCTATTCACATCAACATTAAATGAATCGTGTCCCTGAGTTAATAACGATGCTTTTGTTGTGCTAACCAAATTTAGCGAATATGATATTTCTTTGCAAAGAAAATAAAGGCTGCTGTCTATCGATGTGTAAATTTACTGATGAGTATTTTTGGGATGATGGATACATGATTTGCATAATTATTGGTTAAAATCAAACTTGTCAACTAATTTTATGCCATATAATGACAAATTCGGTATTAAATTATCATTTGATTGTGCTACTCACTAATTTTCACCTACTTCTCTATCTTCTGATGTATGAATATTCGAATGCATAACTTATAAAAAGTAATTTTCATAAAATGATGTCAAAAAACATTCTATCAAGGAATTGAGTCCTATAAAGTACTATTTTATTGTTTGAAATAATCTTTATCTATTGTCAAATTAATTACGATTCGCAGTAATAAATGTCATAATAGAATTAATAATTGTGTAAACACAACAGATCATATGAACAACAATTTTTTATACAATCCTATCATAAGTATTACGAACTAGACCTGGAACATGTGACAGAGTGAAAAATAAACCTGTAGCGTGTTACATATAATAATTACAGTGTATTAATACCAAATATTGTAAATTTTACGTATGCAATAAACCATAATGTTCGACTTAATAGGAGTTAGAGTCAGACCTAATCTATTTCACAATAATACTAACTTCCTAAAGTTGCAAATATTCATCTTTAACGTAAACTCACGGTAGAGCTACCAAGGGAACTGAAAGTTGACTAATTTGTTTTTATATGCCCAAGCCATTGGTTCTTAATTATCGAACATCGTGCTACAACGAGCAAATGGAATAAAGCATATCATCCGCAAGTCACGATCTTTTCGATAATATATCAGCGAAGGCGCCAAAAAAAAGAATCAAGTGACAGGATTTGACTTACAAATAATTT